AGTTTGATAGACTAGGGAATACTACTGTTGTGAAAATAGCTATAGACAATGCTCATATTTAACAATCATCCTTGGTACATTGGTTACAAATAACTTCCATTGATCAGACCTTTTTATGGGGGTACGAAGCGTTGAAAGACCCACAATAAAAGTTATAGCAATAAGAAAGAGTAAATTTGAAAAAAAATAATTTAAATATTGATAAACTGTTGCCACTTAAATATATTCCGAATCTATACCTTTTCCTCTAACCTCTCCTGGAAACATGACAGTAAACATCTACTTTTGTCAACTTTTTCAACAATCTGTTTTTTAACGTAAGTGATGATAGACTGGAGTAGTAGACTCATACTTTGAAAACAGCAATATATAAATTTCATAGAGATTTGACAAGAATACGGTAATAATGTTTATAATTTGTGCGCGCCTTATAGAAAAAGAATGTTGCGAATTAAGCTATAAAATTTAAATTCATCTACACTTTTAGAAATAATCAATAAACATTAACTCAGTTCTCAGGTATCGAATGCTTTTTTGCTCCACTTACCAAAATTCCATATTGCTCACCATCTCTAGAGCGTACGCTTCACGTTCAGAATACCTGGTCTACACAGTAACAAAGCATTTTTTCATTTCAGGACTTTGGTAGTAAACATTTTGTACATTTATACAATCTTGTATATTGTATTAAATAAGTAACATTGATGCGAAGATTATGAATAAATATATTTTTGTAACTTTCCTTTTTCTTTTTCTCTTTTTAAATATTAGATGAATTTGACGCTTTTACGCTTACGAAATTACTGATGTCAATTGATGGGGAAATTAAACCGTAAGTAAAACCTACCATTCAGTATGATCAAAACAGTTTTATGAAAAAAAATTATGGCTTTTATAGCAACAGTAATAAGGTTGTTCGTAATTCTTTTTTTCTTTTATGGGCCGTGTGTCTTCAGGATGTAGGCGATCATGGCTCTCAATTTTCTCCTCTCTATTGTAGCTCTCAATAAGTTTTAACTTTTATTTCTTCCAAACACTGTTCTGCCATCCACTTGCTTAAGCCCTTTAAGTATATCACACGTTGCTTTCCCTTGTCCCTCTTTCCCTCTATCCATCTTGTGAGTATCAGATTTTCCAAGCCCCCTTTCTCATTACGCGTCCCAGAAATTTCAGCTGCCTCCTGATGTTAAGTATAAATTTCCTTTTTGTTTGCATCCTCTCCAATTTCCTCTTGGTTGCATCCTCTCGTTGCTCACATGTTCGATCCATGGTATCCTTAGAATCCTTCTGTAGAACCACACCTCTGTTGCCTCGAATCTCTTCTTCATCTTTGAGGAGACAGTCCAACATTCGCTATCGTAAAGGAGGACAGATATCATGTAGCAGTTCAGTACTCTTTTCTTTTTACCAAAGAAATCCTCCTGTCTTGTAATACGCTGTCTAGCTTTTCGAATGCATCTTTGGCCATCTTCGGATCTCGGCGTCGCACTTACCATCCTCTGTCAGAACACTTCCCAGATATTTAAATTTCCGTACCTGCTTAATTTTAGTCTCCCCGACCTGTAAATCGTATTTCGGGCTCATCTTTTTGCTGATGAGCATACATTCTCTCTTCTTTTAGTTTATGCTTAGTCCCTTCCTCTCGCTCTCCTTCGCTACCTTCCGTTGGCGGTTTTGTAGTTTTCTTTCCGTGTCTCCTATCAGCACAGTGTCATCTGCGTATCTTATGTTGTTAAGATTGTGGCCGCCAATGATGAATCCTGGTAGGATTTCCAGTTCCCTCAGAATTGACTTGCTGTATAGGTTTAATAAGTCCGGTGAGAAGACGCATCCTTGCCTTATGCCCCTTTCTATTTTTGTATACAAATTTTTGAAGAGTAAGAATCAGAGATAAATGCAGTGTGTGAAAGAAAAATAAATAAATAAGAGAGAGAAATGTACGAATAGGAAACATTGGATAGATGATGAGCAGGGAATGAGAAATGTATAAAACTAGGTGTTACTTCGCCTTTGGGTTGCGAGTAGGAAGCAAACTTGGCAGATCATTATTACTGTAGTGAGTTCGATCCGCCTTCGGGGAAATTGTGTAATACAAAGCTCATTTCAGTAAACACATATAGGCGTCTGGCTTTGAGCGATGGTTAGCAAACAAGAGAGAGAAGGAAAGAGAGAAAGGAGAAGAGAGATACAGATAGACCGATACCGATAGATGCACAGGTGAACAAACGCTGAATTAATTAAAGAAGTAAGTAAGCACACCCGTAAATCTTCAATAAATAAATAAAGTTTACTAGACGTTGCAACAGAGATAAAAAATAAATGTTTATGTTAAAATTACTATATTTGTTTCTGGGAATCTCCTATCGAAAAAAAAAAAAAAAAAGAAAGTTTATATTGGATAACTGAGACATCCGAAATTGGCATGGTACGTGGAACTAGTACAATCTACCCCGGTGAACGAAATAAAGGGTTCAGTTCGAAATTCCAATCACCTGAAGAAGGCTGGAGCGTACAACGGCCGAAATGTCGTGAACATGACAATAAAGATGGGGACAACAGTCCGAGGAATGTAAATAATGTAAATAAGAGAAATCTGTGAAGACCAGGATACATGATCATCCGACAGTTTAACATCGGCTGAATACGGCACATGAGGAAAACAATTTTTACTTATTCTCGAAAGAAACTTACTAAGGTTATTCTGGTGCAAAAGTATGCTCTTTCTCTGGGCCAGTTCAGGGCATTTTGACATACTGATTTCATTTGGCTTAATTACTTGTTTAATTACTTAAGCACTTGTTCGAATCAATTATTTGTTATAGTTGATGACTGTGTTCAAATTCATATACATACACAACAGCAGATTCTTTGAATGAAAATCAGTCTTTGGTACAATTAGTGGGGATTCATTTCACTTGCTTCACCATCTCTTGTGTTTCACGTTGTTTTAAATTATCCACTTTTCGTCACTTTTCATTGTTTCAAATACAACATATTTTCTTTAAGTAATGAATTGCACACAAAAATATGATCAGGGGTATTTTTGCATAATATATACGGGAATCACACATCAAATTGACTAACATTATCATTTTTAATTTTGATTTGAATAATTTAAGTCTGTTGGGTCGTATACCATTGATTATTTTCAAGTAATGTCTTATTTTGATTGCTATCAACCTCATATAGTCTCTTTGGCTGCGTAAAGTTGTCGGAACAATCTTTGGCATTATATATATATATATATATATATATATATATATATATATATATATATATATATATATATATATATATTATGTTGGAGAATTCTTTCTGTTTTAGGGCTAAAAAAAGTGATTCAAATTGTTATGTATTTAAAACGCAATTTGAATGTTTGATCATGATCACGCGACCAGACATAGTAATTTTTTGTGTCAAAAATTGATGATCATAAGATTTTGTTATATATAGATGGTATAGCCACACATCTCTCCATCTCAATTTAACCTTTGAAAATCCTAGAACTGTGAAACCGGTAAAGTTACCCTAAATAAATATACTTAAAGATTCTAGATGCACTTTCAAGTAATTTTTTCTATATATTTTTAACCGTGTGGGATATATAAAACAAACTCTTTATATATATATATATATATATATATATATATATATATATATATATGTGTGTGTGTGTGTGTGTGTGTGTGTGTATTTCCCTCTGTGGTTTTCTGGCACGAAGCAAGACGGGACTTCTTGTGGTCATAAAATAAAACCTCAAAAACTCATAATTCCACCACCTGATGGTCACACCTGTCACTAATGTGAAGTCTAGAAGGATGGGAAACACCTAAAGATCCATATGAGAACTCATAATATATATTTTTGACTGAACCCTCATCCGTTGGTCTCGAAGGAAGAATCCATCCATCCATAGATACTTAAACAAGCTCACCCTCTAAGTAGCGAAAAAAAAAACTATAATGTCTCCTACTTTGAAGTTATAGGACGTTGAGGCAGTAGAACACTAATAGAAATAAGAAGATATGATGTTTTAGTTGTTGTTTTTTCTAAATCTAGCAATGCTTGGTTATACTATTTTATGTCAGACATTTGCATTTCCTACTCAGTGATTTTGACTATTATTTACACTACGTGTGTGCAAGCTTGCTACACGTGAATTTCAACTTTGGGTTCCCCAAGGTGAGAATAAATACACTTGAAACGCAACAGGCGTTTCATGATTGTACGTTGCGATATATATGAAACTGATAGTCATGACCGATCAACAACACCATTTGTAATGATGGATATATTTCCATATATATATATATATATTATATATATATATATATATATATATATATATATATATATATATATTTCCATATATATATATATATCCATATATATATATATATATATATATATATTTCCATATATATATATATATTTCCATATATATATATCCATATATATATATATATATGGAAATATATATATATTTTGTATATTATTTGAATTGTTTGCGATGATGGATGTCTCGCCATTTAAATCATTAACCTTTGCATTAGTTTTTTTGTGTGAATAATTCATGTATATATATATATATATATATATATATATATATATATATATATATATATAATTGGTACAATTCTTCTATCTCTCTAAGTTACACGCACTAAATTTGTTCGCGAGAATCTCCTTTCACAATGTTTGATATTAGGTAACCTTAAAAAAATTTATTTGGTAAAAATAAAAAAAAAATATTTAACGAAAATTATTTTCGAATATTAGCTTTTTTGAAAAATATATTTACCATTTTGTTCCACTGTGTTGGTTTGTTACTTCATGATTATTGTTGATTTTAGTCATAGATCGAAATGTACTGACTGTTAAAAATATATATTTTATAACGACTGTTATCAGTACTCAAAATCGTAACATTTCTCAAAATTTTATACGAAATGAATATTGGCGTGGGGGGGTAAACAAACATCCAGAAAAATGTTCATTGCATGCACGATTCTCGTAACTTGTTTTTCTTTTTCATAAGATTTGACCACACAGAAATTCGATATCGAAAACGAAGATTTGCAACCGACCAGACGACTCTTCGGGTGCCAGTGGATGACGAAGTCTATGTTGCTAATTTGTTCCACCCGACGCAGATACTCCACCCAGATGCTAGAGTAATACTAACTGATGGCGACAATCAACAAAAGGTGGACGTTGTTCATCCAGACTGTTACTTGGTCGGTGAAGTCACTTCCCATGGAGGATCGGCCAGTTTCTCCTACTGTCACGGAATGGTAAGAAGACTATTTAATTCGTCGATTTATAGCAGCACACTTGACATATGTTTAAGATTAAAAGCAGTAGGAATAAATAAAAAAAAGATTTAATAATATGACTGCATAAATGAGTTACTGAAAACGTATAAAGTAATGCTAAATACTTTATAATATTTTTATTATAATAAAAACATTTTACATCGCTACACAAGAGCTTTCATGTTTCAATACTATGATTGTACTTCGTCAGGCGATGGTAGATAACTTGTGATAAAAATGATTTATTAGTGAAATTTGAAAACAAATCGTTACCTCTTTTCGAAAGTTAAAGGGTTGCATAAGGTCAGAATTAAAATTATACTTTTGGGTATGTCCAGATTTACCCATCCATTTCTAGGGATTTCTTTACATTGGATTTGTAATTCAACAATGAGTACCCTGATCTTTCAAACAGGGAAGTGAAAATAATTATGAACTCAAAAAATCTGTCCTTATCTTTGAGTGTTGAACAAGAATAAATGCAATAGTGTTTCGCTAGCAACAAGGCTAGCAGGAAGCTCGGACTTTAGCGGGCCAGCTATATATATATATATATATATATATATATATATATATAGTAGGCATATGAAGAAGCACTGCAGTTTTACATCTCAAAGCAAAGATAGAGAGAGAAGTTGATTTTTATGCCCATTGATGTATGTTTGTATATTTTTCATTTTTATGTATATTGATTTTGATGAAATAAAGCATAATATATATATATATATATATATATATATAATTCTGATATAACTAAAATATATATCTGTAAAAGCGATAGATTTTTTTTAGAATTTTTAAATTTAATATTTTAGCATCCTCCATAATTTGCCTAGACTTTTCAGTTATCCAAGTGAATATTTATGAGCGTTTCTTAAATTTTAAAAATTTGGAAAACTAATATTTTTACTTTTGTTTATACTTGTTGCAAAATAAAATCCTTACATTTGCCTTGATAAAGTCCATCGGAGGATGAGACGCATTGGCTAAGATATTTTTTCCTTTTGTCTTTACATGTATATATATATATTAAAAACCAGGAGGTCAGTTGAATCCGCTTTATTTTTGATTTTTTACATGTGTACTGAGCACTTTTTAATACTACAGTTTCCTGGTTTAATTCAATTCTGACCATTAAATTTATTATATATATATATATATATATATATATATATATATATATATATATATATATGATTTCATCATTTACAGAGAGGAACATTCCACACCGACGATAAGGAAATCGTTGTGCTCCCTGTTGATGGTGGAGATCGGCATCTTGTGGCAATAAGGAACAATACGCAAAATGAAAACGGTAAGAAAATAAAGTTTAGATTATAATAATTTAAAATTTATATTGATTCCTGGAATACTATTTCTTCTTTGAAGCCTATAAAAATAAATCATAAATATCTACTTCAATCAATGCATAGGTATTATGGATATGTGTCACATTGTTCTACAGGTAGGGACTTGGGAACAGTTGAATTGAGCAGAATTAAAAACTTCTTGTAAAATATGTAATTTAAAGGAATTAGTTTTGAATATTTTACTGTCTTCCTTGCCAAAAGTCACATAACAAAATATACTTATTATTTATCTTTTGTCCTGAAATAACACCTTTTCAAATTCTATCTTTATTTCATCATTGACAATAAACCAACATATTTTAAACTAACAGTTTCTAGTATTACACTCAATTACATTTCTAAGTTCAAAAGTTACAAATATTTGCTTTTAATTCTTCCTCTATACTTGAAAATAAAGATTGTACTGATAAATCATCAGTTACCTCCCCTTAAGATCTATGAGGTATAAAAAGCACCCTGTTATACCCGTCAGTAGACGAGTAGTCAGAGTAAAGTGCAATAAAGTTTTGGTATAAGTTTATTCACTGGTTCTGTTTTTACTAGAAAGATATTTATAGCTAACTGCAAGTTTTAATACATCAATAAACGTTAATAACAACTACTGTTGTTATTATTAATTTTCATTGTTATAATTTCATGTGTTTTTTCGGATAGTTAAACACACCTTTTTTGTTGCATTTGCTGTGCCTCATCGTTTCCGCCGAATGAAATCGTAATTTCTTTTCAAGAAAAGTGTTAACAAGTCGAGAGTCTCACTCAGTCGTACAAAGAAAAAAAAAAAGAAAAAATACCAATTAAAAACATGGTAACCAAATAAAGAATTAATGTTGGCAAATATATTTTCTGTTTGCTAACATTTACTGGTTTGCACTACCGAGAAGATAAGTTCTTTACGTTGGGCTAGGAGGGAATTCAATCATCACCCACTAAACATAAACTTCGTTGGTATTTTCTTGTAGTACCTGAATCAAATGTTAACCAGCAGTAAACTCATTCCTACTATACTAGAAACACCCATTTATAACGCCCCCCCTCTAAACGGAAAAGAAAGAACATCTAGATTTGAGAGGAGGTGAAACGTTAAAGCCAATAACTTTTCTTTGGATCGCCAAATTTCAAAAAAATTGATATCGTTGTGTAGGGTTATGATTATTCTATTCCAAAATCCATTATAATTTAAAAACTCATGTAAATAAGGATTTCGCTAATGTGATGGATAGATTGTCGTCTAAATTACTCAAAAATGAAAATAGCGCTGACATCTCATTTTACCAGATAAATTTACTAAAATTACGCAAAAATATAGAGAGTAAATTTATTTAATAAAATCGGCTTCAACCACAGCCTCCAATCTCCTGCATTTCTTCTGGATGGTATCTTTAAGTTAATTAGGGCTGCCATAATCCTTGCATTCGGTTCATCTTTGGTGTTACAAGGAATTTTGTTGGTCTCTCGTTTAACTGCATCAAACACACAATAATCAAGAGTGATTTGATCACAGCCATGACTGAGTTCTCCTGCTTGTGTTGCATGGTGCAGAGTTCTGTTGCCAGACATAGTGTCTTCTTGCCCTCTTGGGCCAGGGTAGCACTTCTTGTCCTCTTGATCTAGGGAAGCACTATCTCATCAAGGCACTTGATGTAGGCCTCTGTGTTGAGTCTGAGGCCATCACCAACACATTCGGGAGTTCTTTTCTCATCAGAACCAACAGATTGAGTTTTTGAAGCTGCTGTGCCTTCGTAATCACCATTAGACTCATCCAATTTTTTCCGAATCCTTTGCACTGTCTTCAGATCGACACCCAAACACACTGAAATGTTCGTATTGGAGCTACCGCATTATAGTAAGAAAGAAAGACTAAATTATAGTTTTTAAATTTTCTATTTTAAAAATATTTGTTTTTATTTTCATCGTCCCAACTGTCTTAAAACTGTCATGTAAATTTTCACTTTTCATTTGAACCAGTTTTCTACCAGGCCGAAATCTTTAACGATTTAGAAGATGACATTGCCGAAATTGAAGAAAATGAGGACAAAGAGGCATATTTGTCTAATATGACGCCCTATAAGCCTATTGACACGTCAGGAAAGGCTGTGATAGAAATTGGTGTTTATATCGACGCAGATTACAACAGGTACATAGAAAATGTTGGCGATGACACCTTGGCCAAGAAAATGGATTTCATTCTTGTAAAGTGGAACGCTGTACGTATATCCCTTCATAAATGATGTTTAATTTTTTAAAATCCTCCCAGAATTGCTTGAGAAAATATATTACATATATAAGACAAAGATAGGTAATATTCTATTTCTTTTGTGCAAACAACACTTTATATACTAGGGTAAAGTATATGTGTATGAATTCATTACAAACGATCGCGCACACACACATACATACACGCAATACTAATGCTCATATATTGGAAGGAGTATAAAATTATCTACATACTAGCTTAAAAGCCGCGCTATGGTGGGATGCATTTAAGCTAACTCCTGTGGAGTTTCCTGAGTAGACCTTCATCACAATAAGTAGGGAGTAGTAGATGCGATAGGCAACAATAAACAGAAGAACTCAAAATTGATTGCTGCATTTAAGTATTGCATTAATATTTATGCTAACCTTTTAAAAGTTCAACGATAACTCTTCTGCCGCCACTTAATTTAAAAACAATTTGATGTACGTAGGTCCTTACTTTCCATACAAACATTTATTTTTATTTCATGGGTGACTTTCGCTGGGTTTCGCAATTAATTTCGTGCCAAATAAAAAAATATTTGGTTCCAGCGTATGTTAAAATTGTACGTGCCTATAAATTCGAGCACTTTCAATCATTGCTAACTGTGTATACTACTGTTAAATATATAGCATTAATGTCTCTGAGTAATACAAATATAACAACTTTTACCACCGCCTATAGCCGGTGATGTAACCACGTTTAGTGGTCCGGTTCTCAGGATCTTAGGACGACGTTTTAACCACACGTCTAACTCTGCGCTGGTTAGTGCTGACGCTGGTCCAAGCTGTTGGTCGCTGGCCGCTTCGTTCCACACCAACTCTGCCCGCATTGTGTTCTTGATCTCAGAGCAGTGGAAGATCGAATGTCGTAATAATCGCATCGCTGGTTCAAGCCATGCAGGGTGCTAGATTAAGGAAAAAATATCTTCACAATAAATAAATAAGCAAAACAAAAGATTCATGGGGTTAAACTTCCATTGGTTTATATACTTTTTGGTGCAACTAAAATTAACCATTCCCCCATCAGTCTCTATAGTGACACTGTGTCTCGGCTAATAATTGGGGTTCAAAGTTCTTCGGGATCTGGTGGCAGCTGACATGGAAGCCAGAAGCACTCAATACGCGATTCGCAGCCCAAGTCTTCGAGCTCAAAGGTATTTGCTTATATGCACCTCGGCCCAAAACTGGCGTGGGGTCGAGGGTTCTTGGGATTCGTTAATTCTTTAACTTCCACATTTATCTTAATAAAGGTTCTTTGTTCACTATTTCTGCTTTCTTAATCAACTTTCCAAATTGGGAGAATTATACACCCCATTGGGAGAATTATCCACCCCATTGGGAGTAGTTACAGAGATTGTTCCTTTCCCAATTCCAGTCTGCTTCACTTCACATCTCGCAAAACCACTGCACGCAGAAGGTGCCAAATCCCCCCTCTTCCTCCTTCCTTCTCAGCATTATACCTCGGCCAATCTCTCAGGGCCGGAAAAAAAACTGTCTTTGTGACAAGTCTAATTTTCAAATCGTGTCGATGAAAGGGTGTAGTTTATTCTAATGATTAATTTTAATTTTCCTGCCTTGTCAAGGTAGAGATAAAATTATCTCTCCATTTTTGGATTTACCCACATCCAGCGAAAACACAAACCAGATCATTCTCTCAGCAATTACAGGATATGGTTTCATAACTTCGTCTCTCAAAACGGGTTCGCTCCTTGTTTTCATTTCCCAATTTATTTTCATCAACGAAAATATATTTGTTTGCCTAAATCTTCAAGGAAGAGAGAAATTGTTCTCCAAATCTTTTTCGTCCACATGCCACACTCTCAATAGATAAGAAAAAAAAACTTTAGGACAGAAGAAATCCAGACCGTCCCATTTTCAGCAAGGAAAATTTCTCCTCTCTCTTTCTCCCCTCCAGCCTACATTCCATTTTGGGCTTAACCCTTTTCTGCTCAGGATCAACATTTAACCATGACATGGCCTCAGTGTCACATAAATGTATTCACAGTTCATTGGAATGTCGTGGAGAATAAAATTGAAAAAAACTCTCAATCTGTTTATTAATCCAGAAATTATTGATCGTTAACTGGAAAAGCCAGCATTTAATACTTATCTCATGATTTTTTTCTTTTCAATGCATGGGTATAGGAGATTCTTTCTTTTAAATAATAACTCCCTCTTGAACCTAAATTGGAAAATTATGGTATTAATAAATATTTATGAAGCTTAGCTTAGGGGACATTTTTCTATGGCAAATCAACAGTCGACTTCTTGCCCAGAAATAATAAACTTGCCCTTGTAATAAATTATTTTTTTTATCACTAGTGACTGTTCAAAAAATTTGTTTGTGTGTTGAATAATGAGAAAGGCAAGTATTATACGCTGATCAACGTTCGTTTCAGTATATTCTTTTGGAATATATTTTTCTACTTTTAAAATTTTCCAAATCTTTCCTAAAGTTCACTGCAATTTAATGTTTCTTAAAAAAGAAATAAAGAGTTGAAGAAGCTTAAAATATAATTGTAAGCATTTGTTGACAAATTACAAAACTAAATGAGATGAATAGATGCAATTTATTTTATAAGAAAAATACTTGAGTATGTCATATCATGTCTGTTAATGCAAATAAAATGTCAGTAGACTCCGTTCCAAAACATATACAATGACAATTTGCTATTATTTTAATTTTTTACTAAAACACATTCTATTGTGATTGTCTTTAGTACAACTTAAATTGCCATAAAACGTTTATTCTTTTCTACTCCTGTAGACTCCCCTCTGCGCTATAGGGCTGGGTGTTGCTGAATTAGCTTAAATAGCAAACCTATTTTTAATTAAGTTATCTTTCTCCTAGAATGGTGGCCAACCAAATCTAAGAAATCTAGTCTGCTCTTTTGCTAAAATTTTAATGGATATATGAGAAAAGATGGATTCATATGATCCCAAGGATATTTGTGCGAAATTCGAACTCTATAAGGCAATCCAATTTTCTGCTCCGACAACTACTACACTGAGCGCACACTCCAAACATTATTATTGCTTTGTAGACACGGTGAAGTAATGGATAGCGGTTCGGATTAATGAATCGGAGAGCCGAGTTCGAATTCCAGTTGAATCCATTACATTCACTTACGTGCTAATACCCTTGGGAAAGGTATGAATCCTTTTCTCCTCCCAGCTATGGATAAATAGGACAGACCGAGTTCTGTAGCCTTGGATGGCAACTTGCCTATCGCAGAAAGAAATGGCAACCTACTGCACGGGAAAAAATCTGCCTCGTCAGTCATGTATCGAAAGATACATGATCACCTAAGCGTGTATCACGCATGACGCATAACTGACTGACTGGTTATTTGTCAAATCCACATTTAACTAGAATAGTTTATAATTTTTATTGAGTCCATATCTTTTCTACTCATTTAACCTCGAGCTCTACTCGACTAAAGAGGTTGATGTTTATTTGTTTTATCATTTATGTCCCATTTCGCTTTCTGGTCCATTTGGACGACTACATTTCTTTGTTTGCAATAACTAGCTGAAAAGTTTTTGTTCGTTTTATCATGTGCCATTTTCAATTGTAAAATAAAAAGCTGTTCCTTTGGTTATTATTTTAATTCAGTTCAGTCCTCTTTTAAAAATTACTTCCGTCTTTCTCTCCCTTATGATTAATATTGTTATACAATACTTAACACCAGAAAGAGAAACTCTAAATCTTTTCTTGGAAAATGTACCACTTTCAGTCCAACTATTCTGTCCCAACTTCTAAAATACTCGACTCTCGAGAATCTAAAAATCTACTTTAATCTTGTTATTTTTTTTCTTAATAGTTCCATTTTTCCCCCCTCAGGTGCAGTATGAATATTCCAAAAAAGAGCAACTCGGACGGGAGGTCGAAATTCAGTTGAAGAAAATGGAATTTTGGAAAACAAATCCCGTATGTATTGAATTTGTCATACTTTATTTGTCTTTAGGATGTGTTAGTGGAAGAACTTCAAAATGATGATCACGATTTCTGCGTCTCATCTACAGTTAGTAAATTTTATTCACAATAACAAAAAAGTCCTCTACGAAACTAATTATTTTTTTCTTTGTTGAAAGAACCAGAAATTCTGAAAGAAAAGAAAAAATATCTCTGATAATTCCGAATTGATCTCTTCTCTACGTTTAAAGTGAAAAAAATTGTTTTGGTGATCTGATTAAATGAGAAACTTAAGCTTTTTTTTAGTGAAGAGGCTGCATAAATAGCCCAACCTAACGATTTGATATTCTAGGTTTATTTTAATCAGATCAAGCTTGTGTTGTTATTCTGAAGAATATGTTTGACCAAAGATGGAGATTTAGGGCGTTTTTCAAATCGTTCAAAAAAGAGGTTTGTTTTGTGGTTGTTTTGTATTGTTTTTCCTAAAAGGTTAAAGCAACCATTTTTCACTGGCTGCCCATCAAAAACTTATGCGTAGTAGCTGCTACCTCAGCAATATCGTGTTTAGTCATAAATTAAATAATTATTCTATATATCCTAAAAGTAAAGAATGCGAATGTTTATAAAAAGTAAACGGGAATGAATCAATAAGTCTGTATCCGGTCACCTAGTTATCAGGAGCTTGATCTGAAAATTTTACTATATAATGTTTGATCTTCACGATTAATATTTACCACTGAATTAAGTGAATTGACAAAGAATGAGAAATGTTTAGAAAAATTATTTCTTGTGTCAAAGAAATGCTTTTTTCATCATGGCGCTGTTGTCTTAATCAATTAATCTATTTCTACAAAGGTCGGTCAATAAAACGGTATCCCAAAATGTAGATTTTACTCTGGAAGTTTGATTGTATAATGTTCGATCTATGTGATAAATATACATCACCGAATTAAAAACATTGATAAGGAATTTTAGATACTGAAAAAATGTAGAAAGTAAATGCTTTTTCATAAACAACGTGTGATCATATTGAGAAACATATATACACTAACGCACACTGTTTACATGTTTGCATATTTATATATGTAGATATATATCCATAGATATATGTATATATTTAAAAGTGTTTGATTCTCTCTCTCTCTCTCTCTCTCTATATATATATATATATATATATATATATATATATAGAGAGAGAGAGAGAGAGAGAGAGAGAGAGAGAAAGATGGTGAGGTGTGATGAAATGTTTCACCGTAATATTCAATCTCTATAACATCAAGAGGGACACCAAGTTAAACACATTGACAAAGAAGGATATTCTGCTGACAAATGAATATTGTTGTGTATAACAAATGATTTTCTGTTTTCATCCTTAGGCTACGGACTTACTGATCAACCTACGTAATCTGTTTAAATTTCACTTTTATTTTCTTTATATATTTTTATGCTTCCTAAATCAAAATAAATGTCTTTGTATTATCTGCTAATTTTTCTTTTATTAGAATAACAATGAGGTCAAGTTTCAAGATTGCCTGCAAGTGATATTTACTTATTTTTTAAAGTACGAGTTTTGTTAATAAATGCCATAATTTTATTCCTCTAACTAAGGTTAGCAACAATTTTTTTGCTTTTTTTTATTTTTATACAAATTCATATGCATTTATATATTTCCACACAGAAATGGCTTAAAGTAAGCAATAAATTGGGGTCACTGTTACATTCTATCTGTCAGTGGAATAAAGATAAGGAACCGTTCGATACCATCTATTTGCATACAGGGTAAGTATATATAACCTTATGCATAATCAGCGTTCTCTTCATTTTCCTCATTATTTACTCATGATATCCTGACGACAGCAATAACTGAAAGGTCCATGGTCTACTTTCATTCAAAAGTGTTATTAATAAATGAAATGTTTTAACTTTTAATGTTTATCACTGTTATATCAGAAACTGAGGCTATAATTAATGTTAATTCATGATTTTAAATTAACACAAAATGGTGGTACTATGTAACAGGTATGGTAATTACGCTTCCTACCAAATGAAAGATGCAGAGGGTTAAGTAAAGTAACTTAAGTCTAAAAAAGGGTCAGTAACTAAATTCAACTCCTCATTAACCTAGAGATTCAATACGAAGAAACAATAGTAACAATTAAAATTATTACGTTCGGACTGAAACTAAAATGATTACGTATTTAAAAGAGGCAATACGAGAAAGGAATGAATTCAGTGCTAATATTTATTTAATAACGATAACATGTATTTAATGATGATAACAATTATTTAAACTTACACAAAGTCTTGGTTGGATTAAGATTATTATATCCAATCAATTGGATGTAATATTTTGCAACCAATCAAATCTTTTGGCAAGTGTATAAGATAAGAAAAATATTAAAAATGCAGTCAAGTATTTGGTAAGTAATTAGCCGGTAATACAGAAATCACTTTAAAACAACAACAGATATTGAAACAGAGACCTCTTTCCAATAAAATTCCATAGTATGAAGAATAAAAGTTTTGCAAGAGCAAAGTCAAAATATATAAAGTTCAAAGTTATTAATATACATAGTTTATTGTTCTTTGTTTGATAAAATATATTTTAAATGCACAGGGGTGAGTCAAAAAATAATGCAACTTGTTTTATTATATAAGAAATAAGGAACACAATGAAACATATCGTACATATATATAGCCATACATCACAGGTTCACATCCGTACTTCCAACTTAGTAAGCAATTCTTTCAATGGTATTGTTCTATCTATAAATAAGGGTATTATCCCAGCTTCGTAAACAACTGCTGTTTGCTGATGTAACCAATTCCTTACAGCAGTTTTCACTTCTTCATCACCACCTGGCTTAGTATCCACAGACTTCCATCACTTTGGTTCAATGAAATAGGCACTAAGAGGCAAACGTTATGTTGGTGATGAAGAAGTGAAAACTGCTGTATAGAATTGGCTTCATCATCTGAGTTTTATGAAGCTGGGATACATGTCCTCATTCGAGGAGAACACATTGAAAGAGGTGCTGACTATGTTGAGAAGTAGGTATGTGAACCTGTGATGTATAGCTATATCTTTGTTCGATGTTTGATTTTGTTCCTTATTTCGTATATAAGGAAACAAATACTATTACTTTCTGACTCACCCGCGTATAATTATAGTGCTTACCGTAAATGTACCAAATAAAATAGGTTCTTAAGTATTCTCACTTTTACACGAAGGAGCGCAAATCACAGCCCACAAACATGAAACTTCATAAGAACTTGTCTGAAGCAGAGTTCTTATTAATGGGAGAAAATGAAAATTATTGCTATAGTAATTGATACGTTATTAATAAAAAAAATGCAACAAAATGTGACAAAAATTATTGGTCTCATCTCAGTAAATTTTATTATCGGCTATTTAAGAATAAAACCGTTTCAGAAAGCCTTTGTACCAAAGATCCTCAAGTCTCTTGAGCGTTTGTCATCATAACAGTATTCAATTTTTATTTCCCCCCTTTCAGGTACAACTAATTGAACTATTAGTTTACCTTTCTATATTTTTCTAAATTTTTCTACATTTTCTAATTACCACTAATTTTCAAATCAATTTAAAAACATTCTTTTGCAAGGCCAGCTGATGATTGTTACTCCAAACAAATAGTTTGAACTATAAACCTTTCGACTTACAGCTCTCACAGAGTTCTAAAAAAAAAACCTTGACAAATAATTGTGTTTTTAAAAATAAGTGTTGTGTTGAAGTATTAATGTAACAAATAAAAACGTGTGTTATTCATATAGGAAGATAAATAAAAAGACAAAATTTATAGTTCATATAATTATTATCTAGGTACTGCGATGAGGTTTTCTAAAAAAAAAAAAAAAAAAGAAAGAAATAATTTAAATACTTTTTTATAGTCCAGTTAACTAATGGATGACAATTTATTCTAAAATTATTGTTACTTTTTTGCAGTTCCTTTTAGTTCAGTAGTCAACTTAAGGCATGTGTATGGTATGTTGTGCAAAATGCGGCATGTGATTCACAGGGAATAAAACGTTATATCTATAGGTTATTCTGTGGATAAACAAAGGAAAAGGAGAGAAAGTTCATGTACCCTTTTCATTTTTCTACTTTTTGATAACGCCATCTCTCGGTCGCTAGCAGAAGTTCTCTGGCAGACAGCTACCCCTTTAAATATGGATTCTACTTTCAAAGTAATGTATGCGTGAACACTCGCGGCCTGACGATTGCGTCTAGCAGGAAACAGCCTGTTGCCTCTGAGTGTTGACTTCAATGTTCACTTTTATATTCATATATATATATATATATATATATATATATATAATATTAGTGGTAAATATACACATACATATGCAAAATATATAAAAAATATATATACATAGGTGCATACACATACATGTATATTTTTTGAATAAAAATTCCAAGAGGATAGAATCCAGGTAGAACTCAATGTCCAGGACAGAGTAAGGATATAATAAAAAGGCTTAAAGTGTTTAAGCCTTTATATATATATATATATATATATATATATATATATTGTGTATGTGTGTGTGTGTGTGTTAAAACAAAGTTTACAGTCATAGGGACTTTTTTTCTTTACCTGAGTTAGACAGATTCCGAACCATGATATGTCAAGTTATTAATCATACATACTCCATATCGAATTGACTGCTATCATTTCATAGATCTATTTTCATATTTTCAACCTAGAAGATTATAGTTACATAGCTCTCTGATGGCCACAAATTCCCTGCATGAAAGGACGTTTTATCTCATTTAGCAGCTGGAAATTTCAAGTAAAATGACTTTGAAAGCCGTTTCGTGTGTTTCTGTGTTCATATCAATTATCAAATGTGGATTTAAATGAATTACTTTACAGGATTTGTTACATTTTTTTCTGATTGTTGATCGAAGTAAATTTCAACTTCCCTTTAATTTTCGTCGGTATTTTGCATGATTTGGTCCATGGTACCTCGACTAAGGCACATAATAATCACATATTACTGAATTATTAAGAGCACTTTCAGCAGTTTTGTTGGTACACTTATTCATATATCTTTTTCCCCCAGCACGACCATGCCCCCCCCCACAGACACGAACTATGAGGCTTTCTTGTAATGATATGAATAAACACTTTGACCGTAATTAAGTCTAGAAATAACCTTTAAAAGTATAATTAATATTCAAATAAGGAAATACAAAAATTCATTTTCTGGAACACTGTGTGTACAGTCCTCCATATCGTTGTCAAATTTACAAAGGTTTTTGTAGGCCAACAATAAATTTAATACATTTTTGGATAACGAAATTTTTTACTCATGTCAGTGAGACATCCCAAGATATGAACTACGAATTGCAGACATCAGAATCACGCGAGTACAAAAATTTAAGTGTTATAACAGACGAGGAAAAATGAGATACAGAAATTCGAAGGTCTATAGGAAAAGATGATTTCCAAAAGTTAAACAAAGTATTAAGAAACAGGAAAATTTCGTTACAAACAAAGAAAAGTGTTGAACTGTCATGGAATATCAATTCTGCAGTGAATATTAGACAATTTTCTCACAGACGAAGAGATTTGAAGAATAGAGATGAAGTTCAACAGAAGGATGCTGAAAATACTATTGGTGGAATATGTGGCCAAGAGGAAGCGTTAAAAAATGGGAGCAAAAAGAATACTTGAATAAGAATGAGTTAATATTTTTGGGATAAGTATTGAAGAAAGAAACCTCGGAAGGTTTGACACTCACGGGATATATTAAAAGTAAGAAGGACAGAGGAAAGTATAATACAACCTAAGAAACTTGTATAAATTAATATCAGAACAGGAACCGACAGAGATAGTAAAAAGAAAAATCCTGCTGAGTGTTACAAAGAATAAGAAACAGGGAAGCTTCTCCTATGTTCTGAATGGAAGAGGCACATATAAGTCGAAAGAAGAACTTGTTGAAAATCAGTTATTAACTATGTTTACATATATGACTAAAATAAACATGTATACTGTTGTGGATTCCAAGATTAATTCGCTCTCCAAGGAATGACAAACGCAATAATTAAATATAAGAAATAAAATGTATTTACACAATCATACAAAGAGTAATACTGTTAGAAAGTCCAGGAACGAGGTTAGTAGCAAATACAGATAGATATATACAGTCTCGAAGTAGGACTTCCTTAGAGTCTCCGTGCTTGTAACTGACTTCTACAAGAGGTTACCTCACACTATCTCCGTTCGTATACTTATACTTACTTACTTACTTACTTACTTACTTACTTACTCTTACTCTCTCCTCTCTCTCCCCCCTCTCTCTCTCCCCCCTCTCTCTCTCTGGGTATTTAACGGCAGCACTCCAAGTAACACTGGTAGAGTCCAGTTATGTGAAAAGGGGAGGACCCCATAACATATACAATATTCGCAAATTTCATCAGAAAATTTTGGTTAAAGTCAAGTTTTGCATAAAGACAGTCGTGATAGTATCAGGTCAATGAAAAACTCAACTGCAATAGGCTTTAAAATAAGTAGTTCCTAGGCGCTCAATTGCAAATTTCATCAACCCTTAATTTCTACTAAATATTGTTTTGTTTTTTCTGACTTAAGTCATCATAATTTATTACATTTTATTATTATTATGGTAGGTGTCTGAATTTTTTATGAAATTTATTTTTCTTGTCAACTTTATGGTTACTTGTTTTCACAATGTTCAGATCTTTTTTACATTCTGTTATCGTTAATTAGGCATTATGAGAGAGAAATATAATAATAAAAACAAATTATGGTCACAATAAAAAAAAAAGCTTTTACTATTTCTTACCTTTCAGCCAAGAGCCGTGACGTTATCGATAAACTGGAATACACTAATAATTATGAAGTGAAAATCGTAGCATTAATAATAGCTATGATGATATCGAAACTTTAAATCTTTTTTCCTTTGAATCAATTCATCTTTTCTTTGCAGACATTCACCGATTAGTCCCTTGGGATTGGCGTATGTTGGTGGCGCTTGCCACAAAAACATAAGATGTGCCGTTTCTGCAGACAAAATGTGGGGAAAGTACGTCGCTGTAGCCCATGAACTAGGACACAAGTAAGAGAGTTTGAACTTTAAAAATTGTCAAGGGAGACTGGGAAATGTTGGGTTATTTGATTGTTTTATCATTTTAAATTTACTTATTTTACTTTGTTAGATGTTATTTATCTGAATGATTTTATTTTACCACCATTTACTAAATTCAGCTTATATCGGCACAAGATCAAATTAGGGAAGTAGAAGAAAGAAGATTGTGATATGACAACCTTCCAGTAACGATGGGGGTTTGCTTGCTTACCTTGAACATTCTGACTTTTATGTGGGCTTGAACTTCGACTTCTGGTACTATTATTTCAGCAACCAACACAAAATCGTTTTTCTATAAAAGATGGTGCTGTAAAATTGACTAGCAGTGTTAATAATTATATTAATCCTAGCAGTGTTAATAATTATATTAATCCATACAAGAGAAATATTATTAGACAAATTAGTAGACAAATCTTTTATATTATCCATGCTATTCAACAACAAAAAATGTACGACAAATCTACCCACAAATATTTATAAAACCTTAAAGAAATAACAGACAACTTGGCTACTTTGTGACTGAAACAATTGCACATTTTCGAGTGGTAACAATAATTAATGTTTGAAATAATAATTTTCAAAGCAATTTGGCCTTCTTTTCTTGGAAGATTGGTGCAATATAACCTTCCAAACACTCATTTCTTTCATATTTGGCATTATTCCAGATTAATATGACAAGTGTACAGAAAGTTTGATAAACTTCTTTGGAACTGTATCAATTCTGGTACAAAGCAACATTTATGAAGCACCTAATGCGGAACAAATTCACAAAAACAGAGCCGGTTTACATTTCTTATCCCTATTTATAGATAGATAGATCATCATCTTGCGGCCTCGGCCGAGATTGAACTCACTACACCTTTCCAGTATTCCTTATCTGTCATAGCTAATACTTTGATTGGTGTAGTTCGTAATCTTGTCAAATAGCTGAATTCTTGATGCTTCGCTAGGGCTATCAAGGGTGTTTTTATCGTGACACCATCACTAAATGGATTGTCAACCAAGGCTCAGAGAGACTCCATTCACCCTCCGCAGGTTTTGAATTCTCCTAGACCAGTTGCCATCCAAGGCTATAGAACCCAGTCTGTCCTGCTATTTACCCATAGCTGGAGGGAGAAGGGTATTAGCACGTAAGTGAATGTAATGGATTCGACTGGAATTCGAACTCGGCTCTCCGATTCCTCAATCCAAGCCGCTATCCATTACTCCACCGTGCCTTAGATAGATAGATAGATAGATAGATAGATAGATAGATAGATAGATAGATAGATAGATAGATAGATAGATAGATAGATAGATAGATAGATAGATAGATTGATTCATTCATTCATTCATTCATTCATTCATCCTTATTCAATTTTCTCACACCATTTTCTGCCTAATATCCGTAGTTTTAGACTGTCCAAATTTCTTGGATAAAGAATTTTCATTATTAATTTTATATTATATATAGTATTATAATTAGTTTTCTTGTTAATTTTATTGATGATTTTTATCCTAATATTCAGGTTGTTTTATGTACTGTGGCATAAAAACAATGAGCTATTTACTTCGAAAATAAAGATAAAAAGTCAAAATAGCCATGAAGTAAATGTAGACATGATCAATTCTATTTCACTTATAATATATATTTTGTCTTTCATTGATACTGCTTTTTTATTATTGATTTTAAAAATGATTTCGATGATTTTTTTTATTCAGTTTAAACATGAAACATGATGCTGATACCCCATGTCGCAGTCAATCTAAAGCTATAAACGGATTAATGGGTGGTCATGGCACAAATTTCAGTCGATGCTCAGTAGAAGCATTCAAGACGTTCATTGAGTGAGTATAACTCGTTTATCGCTTGAAGTCAATGTCTTTATAGAGATAATGAAAGTTGTTTGGCAATTTTTCCCAGAGAAGAAACAAGAAAATTATATACCAGAGATAAAAGAAAAAAAGTAGCGTTTAAAGATAAATAAAAATTGAAAGAAATTGCGTCTTTTCAAAATCTCAAATAACATTAAATTTTTATTATATTTTGTAAGATAAAAACATTTTTACAAAGTTGCTGGCGGAAACTTTTAAATAGGTTTTCTGATTAGTTTATGACTAAATTAGGAATTACTTGAATTTTCTGATTTGTTAATAGCTAAGACACACGGAAATTAATTGAATTTTCTGATTGGTTAATGGCTAAATTAAAGGGAAAGTAATTAGATCTTCTGACTCTTTGAATGAAAATTAATAAGGTTGTAGGAATACAGAAGGCTCTTATTTTCCTTTAATAGATTACATGACGACTGCTAAGTGACGTCACTTCATACAGGGACGAAAGCGGCAGTCAATTTTAAGTTTGTTTTCAGCAGTAAAGTTACAGCTTACAAGTCCATGGTGCCGTTTCCCTTTGGGAATAGCGCTCCTGTTAAAAGGTCATTTGATTTGTTGATAGTTACTATAGAATCAGGTTAACAGGGTTTTCTCATTAGCTGATGGTTAAATTGTGGAGATTAATTGGGACTTAATGATGAGTTGATGGCTAAAATACCAATTTGATTTTCGCAATTTCATGGTGGCTAAAATTAATGCGAATAGCTAGATCTTATTGGTTGATGGATAAAGCCGACGAAAATTAAAGGGAAGTTGAAATTAGTCTAATTCCAATGTTCTTATTTCTGTCGTCATTATGGCTATTAGATTTTCATGAGTGTAGTCACTAATTTATGTGTTTTCATTTCACTTTTTACAAATTTCTGTTTGTAGTAATAATAATCATCTTTATTTATGTATCTTAATTCGTAATTGTCGCATAAATAAAATTTCTTGTTTTTAATATTTCTTTGTCAGGAAAAAACGAGGCAACTGCTTATTTGTTGAGAATGTTCACAAACCTGCATCTAATATGAAAGGAGTAACACTCAACGGTCTTTTACCCCGTAAGTGAATCTTTAATTCTCAGTACGGATAATCGAACAAATAACTTTTTATTTTTTAAACTATAGACTAAATTGAGTTCTCACAAAAAGAGTGCATCCTTTAGACCTTCACATTGACTTGTTATTATAACAAACATCGTCTGATATTAGTGGAAGTTAATTTGGTGAACTACTATGGTTAAAGGACAACATCGAGTCTGAAATGTCTCATTCATAAATCGACACAAACTGTAAACATCCTATTATAATTGTGCTTGTCCCTTCCTTCGTTAGTTCGTACGACCGTTACGCCTTGCCAATACCTTATAAATAATGGACTATTCCTCTTTGATCACGTGGAAAGAGGGGTAAAGGCAATACTTGCTTTCAGTGAGAAAAGGAAAGAAAGAAGTGAAGAAGAGAGGAAATCAGATTAAGCTGAGAACAGATAGTACACATTGATCTTAACCAAAAACACGAGAACTATAGTGACCGCGATAAAAGTGCCATTTTTCAGGTGCACAGTATCAAACGATGGAAACTGACGAAGGCAATCGCCAAATGTCCAATTACCATAAATAAAATAACATCGTCTGCTGAATTATTTTAAAATTATTATTAATACATACTTCTGTTGGCTAATTTCACAAACAATAAAGAGTTGAGTAGACATTTTCCTTAACATTGTATAAAAGATAACGCTTGGAACATTTACATGTCTAATATTTTTCTTGTAATGAAGTAAAAACTTTACGAAGTTAACTGTTAATATTTAAGTCCAAAATAAAGAATTAATCTTTGTTCGATTGAATTACTGATTTTAATGAGTACAAGGCGAAATATTTTGATTTGAGATTAAGTTGATCACTAACCATAATCCTTTGATGTCTACTGGTACGAATAGTATATGATTGTTTTCCAGAAATGTACCATAGTTTTGATGATATGTGTATCCATCACGTTGGTCCCGATTATCGCTACAGAGAATGGAGTTATCATACAAAGGTAAGTGTCAGATCTTGCACAAGCAGGTTTACAGGATAATAGTGTAATGACTGACTGAATTAAGTTATCATAACAGTTTTCATATACGCATGCATGAAAGCACAAATACACGTTGCGTTTGTTCATACATCATAAGTCATATAAACATAAACGCACAAGCATGCGACAATTTTAATCGTTTTTCAAAAATGGTTACCACGGAGTAATTCTCATTACCCAGAGAAATATCATGAAAGACTCAATATCGTATCTCGACAACCAACTCAATGGCTGTATAGTTTGATATGATTTTTGGTTTCCCATAAGTGGATTTTGGAAAGTGTTTGTGAACTTGTTGAGAATTTAGAAAACTTATAAATACTTATAATTCGACCGAAAAATAAAGCGTCCTAGGTAAGACGATAAATTACATCTGGCAGCAAGGCCGCTGGAGGTTTTAAGGAGCGTGGTACCACCTCTTAATTTCTGGTGTTCCCAGGTCCACCCTGACCCATAGTAGTAGCACCTGTTAGGGTCCCAGATACGGGCAAATAGTTAAACCCCAAACTGGGGTCAAAACACTATGGAAGTGTAAAAATAGGTTTTAATACCAGCAATACAATTTTGAAAAAAAAAATATTACTAGCAATACATTTTTGAAAAAAAATATTACCAGCAATACAATTTTGAAAAAAAAAAAAAAAAAGAATTACCAGCAATAAAAATCTTGTCGGCATTAAATAACTCGCTGACGTTGATATCCCGTAAAACAAACTAAACCAAACCAAACCGAAAAATAAACCTACACAAATTACCAATTCACTTTTTGTTGCAACTAGAACGTATTAATCTATATGCTTATCAGTTTATAAATCTTTATTGAATATTTTCTCATTTCTTTTGTCCTTTCTGTTTGAATTGTTTACCGGGTTAGATCGCTATGTTTTCCGGATTAGCGCCCGTAACCAATGTAAATTCCAGAATTAAAGTTGACAATTTTTTGTTACTTGAAAAACTGGCACTACAAAATGATGCTACTTCCATTTACTGTTATTTGCTCTTTACCTCAGTAAATATCTCTCATATCTTTCTTTATCTATCCTATTTTTCATTTATATATACAAGGGGTGATAAAAAGTTCTTGGTCCGACCAAGAAAATTTACCTCGCCTTCAAAAATTGACTAATATTTAGTCAAGTCATTTGATCATATTTAGTCATTAGCAGCAAGGCCCGGCGTTGCCAGTGCTTGATTCAAAAATCGTACGACTCATACAGCAATCGCTATCACTTGACTTCCTTGCCTTTAAAGGGGTGCCCTTTGCTGTACTGATGTTGCTACATGCCTTACTTCTTGCCTATCTCACAATGCGAATTTTTCTAAGCTCTATACTAAACATTAAATCTGTTACGATAAAAGAACTAATCAAAATGAACACAAAACGATCAGCTTTAAAAAAGGACTCGTAACTGGAAAAACCGAATGAAAAAAGAATGTTAACAAAAAATACTTTTTCACACCCAACCCAGTTCTGCGGAATCAGAATCAACGTTGAATTTAAGCAAGCGAATGAGCCAATTGGAGTAAAGTGCCATGCAGATTTAAATTTTTCCCACTTGTGATGAATGCAGCTATCGATTTTTTTGCATGCTAGCATGCTAGTTAACATTCATGTCAGTCAGCTGTTGGCTCTCACGCTGGCCAATAGAATCTTCCTGCCTATTCGTGGCAGCCAGCTATAGGCTCTCACTCTGGCCAGTAGAAAATGGCTGCAAACTACATGAAAACTGCCGTAGAAGCATGAAAAAATCGATTATTTCCACTATCAATGGGAGTTGGGAAATGCAAAATTGGTCTTGGCCTTCCCCTTAACTTGGAGCATGTGCATGTAAATTTTGGTGCAAATCCGTCGAAAATTGCGGCCGTGCATTCGTTACACACACACACACACACACACACACACACACACACACACACACACACACACACACACACACATCCTGACTTTTATAGATAGAGATTTTCATCACTTACTTGTACACATCATACTTTTACTCTCTGTCTATTTATATATCAAATCGTCTCTATCTTTTATCCTTATATTTTAGTACCATTGTTCAAATAACCACTTGTGTGTCAACATGAAACCCGGAAAGAGTTACGGGCTCATGAAGTCGATAAATATGAAGCCACTTGGACAATACTGCGGTGTTGGAAAGGTTTGTCTTTTTTTCCCAATCATTAATAACAAAGGAAACGGTCTTTTATTTTAAATTATTCCTTTGCATTTGGTTGCACAAATAGTACACATGAATAATAATTAAACTATCTGAGAACGTACATAATAATATTTTTTCTCTTGGAAATCTTGGATAGTAATTACTGAACATTTATCTGAAAATCACTTGTCCGATTTATCTTTGGATAACTTTTAATTTGATTCATCCATTCTGGTCATCTGTTCGTCGTCTTCTTCAGGAATGCTTATCTTATAATCAGTGAATTTCAAGAGGCCATCTTGTAAAGTTAATGACATTTACAGGTAATTTCTTTTATTACGAGCGGAATTCCACCCAAATGAAACTGATCAGCAAATATTTGATTTCTATTTTACATCATCCAAGACGCCTCTATCATTTAAACATTCCTTTTTTCAATTTTCATATTCATTATAACATTCAACATAATCTTTTAACTGACTTCATCAAAAACTAACTATATTCTCTGTTATTTTCTTGATAGTTTATTAGATAAACTAATAAAAAAGATTTTCTGAAACGTTGCGCTGTGCCTGTTTCGAAAGGCTGCCTTTTAAGTAATCATTTAAAACATTTTTTATTAATCAGATGAATCTTATTTTAGTCAGGCACAAGGCCATTATTATAGAGTATCGATAAAACGCGAACTCCGCTACTGTGATCTTGTAGAAGAAAAACTAAGCTAACCCTAGTAAATGACCATATGAGCACCACCTTGTAGTGTTAGTAACTGAATGGATGGTTTGGTCTCGGAAGATCAAAATCCCTTCACTAGGGATTTCGATCTTCCCTAATTGCCCTGCTGTTATGGTCTTGTGAAAGACAAAGCTAAACTATTATATTTTCAAAGGTACCATGGAGTAATGGTTAGCAAACTAACCCGGAAACCATAACTATAGTTGTGAACTCGAACTTGTTGCCAATTATCAAACAATTCTTCGGTACATTTTGAATGAAATTGCTTTTGATGGGAAAAATGTTTTCAGCAAACACTTGAATCTGGTTTTCATTATCGAAAATAATCGGTTGGTTGATGTAATTTGGGTGGAGTAGAACAGATCAAAATAAGTTTTTTGTATATGACCTTGTGTTGCCATGGAGATGAACAATAAGCGCAGAGTACTTTTTGACCAAACATTTATGAATACGTTATCGCTGCAGGCATCTAAGCTTCAGACTATCACTATATAGAACATGCTTTGATTGTCATTGGTTTCGACAAGGGAAAATGTCGAAACATGTGTTGAATCAAAGCGGGATTATTCTTATATAATGGTATACAATGTTTAGCTGAACGGTGACACAATGTCATAGAAAACTTAAGAAAATACTTCAATGATTGAATAATGAACTATGAATTTATATGAAGATTTTGTCAAGAAAAAAATCCTGAAAGCATTTGCATTATCCTAATTGCTAAATTATTGTAACCAGATTAGAATTTAAAAAAAATGAACCTGATAAAATGCCTACGCTTTGTTTTGAATCATATTATAGGCTTGTTACCAGGGACGTTGTGTACCCTACAAAGATTTCCATATACACGTTAAAGTGCCTGTGCAAAAAGGTTCATGGGGTGAATGGGGTCCGTTTTCTCCATGTTCTCGAACTTGTGGAACCGGTGTCATGATTTCACAGCGAGAGTGTGACTCTCCTAAGTAAGTCTGTTTTTAAGCTCAACCAAATTCTTTATATTGTTGGCTGTAAATAAATATCTTTAAATATTTATTCGGTTATATAATGTTGAGATAACTGAAATAACTAGTAACACCAACAATAAACAATGTAATTGTGGATAAAGTTAGTGTTTGGAATTCATTGTTGCTTTGACTAATATTATTTTGGCTGTTGAATAGTTATTAAAAGATCTTATTGATGGCAGCAATGCTTATGTATGTATGTCTTTACAAAATCCTGTTTTATTCTATATCCTTATAAGTACAGATTGGCATGAAATTGTTTGATAAATCGGTATCATTTTCATTATTAAGACAAAAAGGATTTTCACTTAATAATGCTGCACTTAAAATTGTACAAACCTATACAAATTAGAATAAACGAACTTCATATCAATAATCAAAATTAAAGTACGTTGATGAATTGTTTTATCTAGTGATTAAAACGATTTGAAATATCTTTCAGGCCTGTTAATTCTGCTGATTGCCCTGGTAATGGATACAAAGCGAAATTATGCAACTTGAAGGTACGTAATATATATATAGATATACACATACGCACACACATACACACGCATATATATATATATATATATATATATATATATATATATATATATATGAATCATTCATACAAAAAACAAATATAGAGGTTAATGATTTAAATCTACCAGTAAAAAAGAATTCTCTTATTGCTATATTTGTACAAAAACGCACAACCTTAAAATTTAAATTCAAACTCAGCGTTGCGACCGCACGTTCCAAAACAATAACACATTTCTCATAGCATTTTTTCGGATTACATCTCTATTTTCGTTGTCCTCTTATTACCGAGAAGTAAAAACAAGAACAAAATCTATTTCCTTACCTGAGGATGTCTGTAGGAACAGACGAAAGCTTGTAAAAAATTAAAAAGACCTTATGCAACTGGAATTTATAAACAGGGATCATATCATTCATATACAGGTTCGGGGTTGGTGTATCTTATTTATATTGTTTGCGATGATGTATTCTCGCCATTTAAATCATTAACCTCTATATTTGTTTTTTGTATGAATGATTCATGAATTTATAAATTATAATTGCATCTTTTAATTCATATATATATATTTATTTATTAAAGATATTTTTATGTTTAACGTTGTTATTTATAGATACAAGTATTTAAGCAAATGCTCTGTTTATGATAAACAGTATTAAATAACATTTACCGGCCTGAATGTCCGAGAAATTTTCATAGAAAATATTCGTTCTTTGACAGAACATAAAAATATCTTTAATAAATAAATTGTCGGACCTTGTCCATTTCTTAATATATATATTTATATATATTGGAAGTTAGAAAGGTTTAGTTATTTCTTTACTTTAGTTCACCCAATACAAAGGCCCAAGGGTCACTTAAGGTAGAAGGTTACTGAGTGAGATTGTGAGATTGTTGTTAGGGAAGTTGTTTTTACAGCGAGGTTCACCCATTACGAGAACCGGGGGCCACTCAAAGTAGAGGGTTATGTTTGGAGACCATGTATGCGTACAGGAGTGGAGGGTAACGGGTTAACCTTAGCTTTGAATGTAGTAATCGGGGAAACATCCTCTTGGGAGTCGGTTCCACAGAGCAGTAGTTTGAGGGAAGAAGCTGTCGAGTCGAATTTACTTCTCACCGATGGAATACGGAGGGAACGTGATTGGTTTTCTACTATGTAAGTGGCATGACGTGTTCTTGCTGTGAAGGTTTGCCTCGGCAGGACCAGGTAATGTAGTTCGTCCGAACACTTTCCGTGGAAGTACCGGCAGATCAGCGAGAGGCTTGCCACATCCCGCCTGTGGGAGAGAGGTTAGAGGGTGGAGAATAATTCGTCACCCACAAGGGCTTGGAGACGCTTTTGAACTGAAGTCTGGTGAATGAAGTTTGGGCAACTCCCTCCACATATATGACAACAACACTTCAGTTGGTGCCTGATTTGGCTCTTTTGAAGGTAAAGGATAGCATTATTGTTCATCCTGAGTGGTAGTAGTTCGTAGTCAAATCGGCGATGATGGAATGTAACTATATTGGACTTCAAGGCATTGAATGTAACCAGCCAGCTTTTCCTAATTGAGTAGTTTGTGCAAGATCGGAAGAGAGATCAGTCACCAATCTTTGACCATCGAGAATTTTAATGGTGCACCTTTATATAATCGTATCATCGGCATAGATGTTTACAAATGATCTCAGTATAGGCAGATCATTTATGTAGATCAAAAAGAGGGTTGGTCCGAGGAGTGACCCCCTGGGGGACGCCTATGTTGACCTCTAGGGCTCCGGAGGACTGGCCATTGATAACTTTCAGGGACCTGCTTGTTAGGAAGTATTTTATGATTTGGAAGACCCTTCCAATGATTCCATAACTGGATAGCTTGTGTAGTAAGCCTTTGTGCCACACCTTGTCGAAGGCCTTTGAAATATCTAATGGTATGGTCCTCGAGGGATGTTTGTCGTCAAGAGTTTCACTGATCCTGTGAGTGATGGTAGTTAGGATGTCGGCAGTGGATCGGGCCGACCGAAACCCATACTGCTCGTCGCTGAGTTTGCTTTTCTCTATGTGCTTGACGACCATCTTAAAAAAGCTTTGACCATGTTTTGAAAATGAAAACATTATATAAATACATACAAAAATCTATTTCTTGTTAACAGTATATATATTCGATCTTGAAAATGTCTAAATGTATAGCCGAAAGCGCTCGGATATAAAAGAACGATTGGACAGTTCTTATATAATTTATCATCCGAAAAAATATTAGATCACATGAGAAATTGTATAAAAACTAAATCAAAGCACCTTATCTTTCCTAGTCAATGAAATGTGCATATATATATATATATATATATATATATATATATATATATATATATATATGCACACACAGCGACTGAGCCAAATATTAACTGAAAATTTAAAACAAAGAAAGGGTCAGAAAACAACAACAACAAAAAATTACTAGGGATTAAGTTATATGTTCATGAGGATAGGTATGCTAGATATTGGTTAATCCTGGGCTTCAACAGGTTAAGATTTTAGTGATCACGGAAACATCCTCTCGGGAGTCTATTTCACAAAGTAAGAGTTCTGAGGAAGAAGAAGAAAGGAACGCAAATGGAATGTGAATGATTTGCCACCGTGATCATGACATGTTGGCTCCTAGCAGGGGCTCCTTTTGAGTTTGCATGACTAAGGAATGTAACTCATTTAAATATTTGCCATCGTAATACCGACAGATTAGTGATGTTATTTAACTGTTAAAAGACAGAAAATACCTTAATATAGTTTCTGTTTGAATTTCTAACTTCATAATTTTTCATTACCTTACCGCTACATATTATGAAAAATGTCTCATCGCTGTCATGTCACGAGAGTTGGTGGCGAAGAAGTAGAATGAGTGAGTGAGCAACTCCAAAAAAGCTGCTGCCACAATTGCCAACTTTGACAGTGAAAAATATTATTTTCCTAGCTTAACATTACAAACACTGACTCTTAAATCTTGACTGAGAAAGTTTAACATTTCAGTGGCGTCTCCACTGTTGGATTCCCCAGTGCGTCAGTACAATAATTTATAATGTTACTTTCGTGAATCTCCATCAGTTCTAGTTCGTATAAGTAATGCCTTTTATACTAATGTTATTAATGAATCGCAATCCACGTATACTAATAAATTTGCTGGTAATAGTAGTGACATAAATTGCACTTTTCTTTTAATTACAATATCATACAAGCAACCTAATTTTATTTACATTTAGATAATTTACCATTAAAAATGAAAGGGGAAATTTAGAATTCAGTAATAAACTAGAGTATAGGAGTAAATAGGTTTGCCTATCGTCCGGTTCCCACTCCTCCCCGATCTTTTGAACAGGAGTAGAAGTTCATCCTTGTTTCCTGTTTCGTATTGGGTTTCCGGTTCCTTCTAAATTCAAATTCGACTCTATACTCCTAACGTCTCTGGATGAACCCTGACTCTTAATTGCTGGTGTTTCCAGGCCCTATCTCGGACCGGAGTGGTAGCACCTGTTAGGGTCCCAGCTATGAGTAAATAGTTAACCCCCAACGGGAGTCAAAACACTACGAAAATGTAAAAATAGTTTTTAATACCAGAAATACTTTGTAAAATTTATTACCAGCAATAAATTTTTGAAGAAAAATTATCAGCAATACATTTTTAAAAAAAAAATATTACCAGCAATACATTTTTGAAAAAAATTCGCTAATTAAATCTTGACCTCTTCGGGTCTGGAATTAGCTGTCCAACTTTGCTATTATTTTGCCCTTTCTTACGCTAATACAACTCTACTCAGTAAACCTCTAACTTGAGTGGCACTTGGGCTTTGTATTGGGTGAGCATTAGTAAAGAAAAAAAATAAATAAATAAAACGTCCAATGTAAATAAATATTGGTCAAATATAGAGGAATTAAAAGATTTTATCATATCTTCACTAGCTGAAGCAACTACATCCACGTCCTGGGTAAGACGATAAACTACGTCCAACAGCAAGGCCTCTGATCAGGAGGTTTTGAGGAGCGTGGAACCACCTCTTAATTGCTGGTGTTTCCAGGCCCTATCCCGGACCGGAGTGGTAGCACCTGTTAGGGTCCCAGCTATGGGTAAATAGTTAACCCCCAACGGGAGTCAAAACACTACGAAAGTGTAAAAATAGGTTTTAATACCAGAAATACTTTGTAAAAATTATTACCAGCAATAAATTTTTGAAGAAAAATTATTATCAGCAATACATTTTTGAAAAAGAAATATTACCAGCAATACATTTTTGAAAAAAATTACGAGCAATAAAAATTTTGTCGGTATTAAATAACCCATTGAGGTTGATATGCCGTAAAACAAACCTAATTAAACCTAGCTGAAGCAAGTGGGAACATTAAAAAATAATTAGAAGGTAAAAGATACACGTATAGGACAACAATCCTGGATTTAAAAAATTCATACAAGAAAGAAAAAAAAACAGAAAAGAAAAAATGAAATGGAAAATACCAGACAATTAACAAAGAAAAAAAAACTAGTTATTTCTCTGAGAAACCAATATCTCTGTAAAATTGAAAATTAAATAAATCAAGCCAAAAAAGCATGATCAGTGCATTAAAATATGGAGGAAAGTGAAAAATCACAGAAATCTCAAAGAAGTGTCTTTGTCTCAAAAAACACTTTTAATCGCAGTGTTTTATTTTACTAAATATGCTCGAAGAAATAGAATATTTACCAATATATATCCAATCGTTACAAAATCCGTCCCCAAACATAATGAACCTACTAATGAAGAAGTTAAGAAAGCTATTAAAATCTAAGGAATAATAAAGAAAGCATCATTTGATATTGAGGCTGCGCTTTTGAAAACTGTTTACTTTTACCCCGAATGAAATATCAAGTCTCTCTATCTTATGAAAGAAATCTGGGATAAGAAATGCATCACTCAAAAGAGGGCTTTATCACGCATTAATACACTATGGAAACAGAAAGATAAGCATCAAGAACATCACACACA